AATTACAACTTATTTTAAATTATAAGAATTAGAAAGATTGATATTTTTATATTAGATAATAAAAGACAAATTGATGCCAAATATAAGAGATTAAATGTTGTTACAATTATTCTGAAATAAAAGAATCGAATTTTACATGTATAAAAAAAATACTCCTCTTTTAATTATGCTTGGTATTATAAGAAGCATAAGCAATGTAAGCATCTTTGGTGAGGTCACCCTATGATACACTATTGTTCTCGTACCATCGAAAAGGAAAATGAGAATAATGAGTTTGAGCATTATAGCACCAACTACGAATAAGATGTGCAAACCCTAATACTTAATTTGACTTTGGAAAGATACAGAGAACATCAATGTCAAAGCGCTATCCATCCAACACCCCCACAGTACAGAGCACTAATACCCAAATCCTTTATGGGCTACGACCCATAATAACTAAACATTGGCTGTGTTTCAGCGCTATTCCTGTTGTGTAATATATCTCACCAATAGTTATATAAAGAGAAAGACTTTTTAAAAGAGTGGGTCAAATAAACGTATTTTATTAGGATAAATGATAATACATAAAAGGATCACTAATAAATAAGATAAAAGGATCACTAATAAATAAGAGAAAAATATATCAATATGAAAGAACTTGAGGGAGAATTATTACGTAATCTAAGTATGAATTAAGTCTCGTATTGAGTAAGAATGAGAAAATTAGATAATGTATAAGGAAATATGACCCATAACCTAATATTTTAAGATTTTAGACTGAGAATGATATCAATCTCTTATATGAGTTGGACTCATGTTTCATTGATGTTGTTTCTGGCTTTGTACCCTCTTCGAAATACCCAACAACCCAAAAATACATTTCAAGCAACAACCAATTGAAAAACATATTTTTAAATCATTAATCCAAAAATATATTTTTAAATCGTTAATCCAAAAATATATTTTTAAACGGTTATGACTCATAACCCGATACCTTAAAGTTTTGTGTTGAGAGTAATGTTAATTTCTTATATGAATTGAACTAATATTTTATTGGTATGGTTTCTCTAACGTGAACTCTCCTCAAAAGACCCAACAACTCAAAAATACATTTCTTTCGAAAATCTATTTTGGATTGAATAATTTAGATTCTTATACTCACCTTTAGTCTAATTTTCATATAATAGATATAAAACATTAATAATTTATTCCCTTATAAAAAAAATATTCAATTGAAGTAGAACCACAACAAAATAAAATCAATAAAAATATGGAGGTGTAAAGGAATGAAAGATAACAAACTCTTAAATTTCAAACAAAAATTAATAAAATGATACATAGATTATAGAGGAACAAACTATGAAATGGAGAAGAAAGAGTCTTAAAACATTTTCATATTTGTACTCAAATTGAACCCACCAAAAAAAGTGTTTCACTTGTGTATTACATTTCGGTGATTTTGATTTTCACGTCTTGAAGTGAATTACTTGGTTAATTTTTTTTTCACACAATCTTTACTAAATTATAATTATATTTTCTTATTTCATTAGTGAAAATATATTTTTTTCTATTGGTATTTGAACCAAAGCATTTTCAAGATTGGTATTTGACAATGATGCAGTGAAGTTGCGTAATTACATTGAAAAAAAAAAAATCAGAAGATGGTGGCATGCTAATCCTTAAAGTTGCGTAACCATGTTTGAGTCTCACTTTCCACTTAAAAGGACACCATAACATTTATGTGTTTCAATGCATGATTTATACCGTTGATTAAGACGATTTCTTTATGTTGATAAATCCAATTGCTGCATATGTTAATAATATATAAAAATTAAATAAAATATTTTAATTATACTAAATATAATTTTTTATATAAAAAATATGTTTTACTTAATAAAAAAATTATGTTCCTAAAAAGAAGTATCGAATAGAAAAAGGAAGTAAGTGTATATACCTCATTTAGTATTTATTAAAATATAATATTAAATAAAAATATTTATTACATAATTAAATTTCTATGTATACATAATTTAATGCTATGTATAAGAAAATTTCCTAGAAATAAACAACACATTGACTAAATTATATATGAAAAAGTTATTTAATCTATTAGTTAAATTTATATTTTTATTGAAATCCATTCTGTTTTACTACATGCGTGAAAACTTTGAACTATGTGACAAAAAATAAATCTTTATTTTTTTAGTTAATTATTATATTATAATAAGTGAATCTCTCTTCTTTTATTAATTGTATTTTATGTGCAGTATTTTATATAATTTAAAAATTAGTTTAGATTTATTTAATATAATCATTTAATACGATATTTAAATTATATATAAATATTTATGATTCGATAATATATTAATAAAAATTTAAATCACATGAAACTTAATATACATTATCATTATGATTATTCAAATAATATTACGAAATTCAATAATTTTGAATTGATTAAATTTATGTTATTGAAACTTCTATTAAAGATATAAGTTGACTAAGTTTTAAACCTACTATAAATGGTCAAGTCCCTAATTAAATTTAATATAATATTATTATATATTTCTTTCGTTTTTTTTTCATTTGTCTTTTTAGGTTCTCTAAGAGGAATTAAGAAACATAACAACTTTTTGTTCTCATGTAATTTTTTATTTTACCTTTTTGTGACTTCATCAATAAATACATACATGTGTAAATTATTTCAAAATTAGAAAATACATAAGATTATATTTAGTAAACGAGTAATTAATATGATTTTGAATTTTGTAAATAACCTAAATGAAATTAATTTATTACTTAAAAAAAGGTAAAATTATTAATTACAAAATTAAATTTGTATATTCACAAAGTTTAATTCCTCTCTCTCTTTTTAATTATATATATATATATATATATATATAAGTATTTATTAAAAATATATAATATAATGCATTATTTAAGTATATGATACTTTCTCAAGTATGTCTACTACAAGACAATTAGGAAAAAAATTACACATGCCATAAAAATTAATTAATTAATTCATTTAATTTTATTAATTTTTTATTTTTATTTGTTTACCAATCGGACCAATTATTATTATTATTATTTTTAAAATCATGCCTCACAATAAAGATTAAAATAATTACTAATCAATGGTAAACATACTTATCAATAGTACTCTCTTGTTTCTATTGTATAGCACTTTGAAAAAAGTTATCATGTATAAAAAAATCAATTAATTAATCTGATTGTATACTTTCTTTTACCAATTTTTTATTTTTTATCCTTATTACTCTCTAACAAGAGAAATCCCCCTTTTTAACATGTATTTAAATCATACAAAATGACATGAGGTAGGCGATGCGAGACTTTCAACACGCCCCCTCCAATGAAGTCTGTCGGACCAGACAAAGGGTATTTTGATCCAACTAAATGACAACTTTTGACCCATGACAATAACCGGAAAGATGTTAGACTTTGACTCTGATATCATGTTAATGTTCTAATATAAAACCAATTGGCAATACGTAGAAGTAGCTTAACATGTATTTAAACCATACAAAATGACATGAGGTAGACTAGGACTTTCAACATTTTTCATCGTTTTATATATTATATACCTTATATATATTTTTTTCAATCAACCATTCTCTTCAATTTTTCTTGAATATAAATGAATATTAATTAAAAATTATCCTCTTTCTTTCACTCTTTTTTCCTTCAATTTTTCTCTCAATTATAAATTACTAAATAAAATTAACCAAATTTTTTCATTTCATTTTCATATTCCTTCAATTACATGTTTTTTTTTAATTCTCACTTTTCTTAAAATTCCTCTCATATTTATTTGTTTCCAATAATACATAATTTTAGAAACAACTATTTATATTTAAAATTATTAATAAAGATATTAAATTTTAATTCATTAAAAAAACGTAATAAAAAATGAGAATATTCAATGTGTTTTCGCCAATCATGATTGAATTAATTAATAACAATGTAAATTCTTATGTACATAATAAAAATAATATATAAGAAACAAATAAAAATTGTTTTTATTTAAATTGTAAAATATCTTATATTAGTGAATTTTTCTTCAAAGTTATACCTTGTAACAGAGACAAGAGAAGTAATAATCAATTTTAATAATGTTAATTAATATTCTATTTAGTATAAATATATTTATTAAAGGATAAAATATATTTCTCATATATTATTTAATACCATTAAACTATATTTTATTTAAGTCTCTAATAATTAAAAAAATATTTATGTCCCGTAGTCTATCTTAAGAATTTTTGGAAATCAAATAATATTTTATTAATAAATAATAAAAAATATAAAAAGATAAAAAATATAAAATATTTTCATATTCAACGTAGGTTAATGATATATTTTAATATTTATTAACAAATATTAAGTAAGAAAATAAAATTACAAATATATAAATAAATATATTTAATAATCATAAAACTTTAATTCATCTCTGTAAAAGAAATTGATTTTATGAAAAGTGACGCTAAACGCGATGCTAAATTTTAAGTAATCCGTAGATGAATTATTTTTACAGATGTTTAAATGACACTTAAATTCACAAATATGAATATACATATCACTTAATAATTCATGACATAAAACTAATCACTGTTCTAATAATAAAAATTAAAAATCAAATAAAGTATATTAATTATACATCATATGAAAGTCATATTTCACCCTTTATTAAGCTTGTGTTTATTAAGCAAAATATTTCATATCATTTAATGCATATTAAAACGTAAAATTAAATTAAAAAAATATTTATTACAAAATTAAATGTGTATTTTAATTTTTTCATTATTGTTTAAAATTTAAATTTATTAAACAAGCTCAAAGAGTAAACTCAATTGTCAGTTACAATAAAAACAATTAATAACGAAAAGAATATGCTGGTTGATGCCATAAGTTGATGATATAAAAAGCTATGCAATGGTATGCTAAATTTTTCATCCAGTATACTACTCTTCAAGTACTATTCATATTCAAAAGCCACTGAAATGAGTTTAACCAATGGCAGACAAGGAAATGATGAAGAGAAGCCAATTCCCTCTCTTTACAGAGAGAAAGCTTGGGCATCTCCTTATCATTACCATCTATTTCAAAACTTTTGGTGTCCATCAATTCATGTCCAAGCAGTGGATAGTTTTCAAAAAAACTTCCAAGCAAAAGAAAATGACGTTATTGTTGCTAGCTTTCCAAAGTCAGGTACTATGTGGCTAAAGGCTCTTACTTTTGCCATTCTCAACCACCAACGTTTCTCCTCTTTAGAGAATCATCCATTGCTCACTGCCAATCCCCATGAACTTGTTCCTTTCCTTGAATACATCTTTGGTGGTGATATTCATGACCAAATTCACCTCCAAACCAACAAGCCTGAGCCAAGAGTTTTTGGAACTCACACTCCATTTCCTTCCTTACCCAAGTCACTCAAGGAGTCTAATTGCAAGATAATCTACATCTGCAGAAACCCATTTGACAATTTTGTTTCTGCATGGAACTATTTTAACAAAATCAAGCCTCTGTCTTTACCTGCATTACCATTGGATGAAGCTTTTGAAATGTATTGTGATGGGATAATTGATTATGGTCCATGGTGGAGTCACATGTTAGGGTATTGGAAAGAGAGTATTGCCAAACCAAACAAGGTTCTATTCTTGAAGTATGATGATCTCAAAAAGGATACCAATTTTCATGTCAAAAGAATTGCAGAGTTTTTTGGTTGCCCTTTCACCCAGGAAGAGGAGAGTAATGGAACTATTGAAAGCATAGTCAAGTTATGCAGCTTTGAGAAGATGAAGGACTTGGAAGTGAACAAATCTGGAAAAGTTGGCAGAGAAGGTATTGAAAAGAAGAACTTTTTCCGAAAGGCAGAGACAGGAGATTGGATAAACTACTTTTCCCCTCCTATGATCCGAAAATTATCCAAAATTGTTGAAGAAAAATTAGATGGATCGGGTTTGTCATTCAACAATTGTTCTTAGTACGTGTGGCCAAATGCTATTCTCCTTTTCCCATTTCCTTGAATAAAGAGGTTCCATAATGTGGCTACCTTTGTTTTTACCTTCTATAATTATGTGCAAGAAAAATGTATGCTAAAGGTTAAATTTTTACTCTAGTGGTAACTTTAGATTGAATCAAATGATCTATTTGCTTATTTTGTGAAATTTTATGATAAATTTATATTCAACTTTTGCAAACTTCTAGTGTAGAAAAAATATGTTAATGATTGAATAATATATTAATAGTGAACCTAAATTGTTTGATTTATATTTATAAAATTATAAAGACTAAAAATGAATTTCAACTTAATATTATTGTGCTTAATAATTAATTATTAATATAATTAGAAAAAAAATGCTAAATATTTTTAAACTTAAACAAAATTGACAAAATTAATCAATAACATTAACTTTAATATTTCTTCATATCGTGTAAAATAGAAATAAGTAAATTTCATTAAAAATATGGTCTGAAAAGAAATACTTAAAAATTACTTATACTACAACTATAAAATTTAATATATTTTTCCTTTTAATCATAAGCTCATTTAAAAGTTATATTTTATACTGTAATACTAATATAAATGTGTATATTATCTTAAAAATATTTGGATAACAAACAAAAAAAAGTATAAATTATATTTTTATATTTAAATAAATTCACACAACGTATGAATGTTGCAACTGTACTACTTTTTTAACAAATTTTGTAAATAACGTGTGCATATGCATCTATTGCATTTAAGTCATGCCAAACTTAAATATAATTGTACATTAATCGACCACAAATGTTTGTGAAAAATGTGTGGTGATACTTTGATAAGAGCCAAAACGAAATTACTTTTGAAAAGTAAAATAAAAAAATTGTACCTACCTGCGGTTAAAATTAAAATATTATTTTGATATAATAAAAATATATTATTGTATGTTTTGATTATTATTTAATATATCATGTATTAATTATCTTTATATTTTAGTAACAAAATTTTATATAAGAAGATTATCACTTTTTTTCTTTCAAATTTCATATTATATTTTTTATATTAATGGTTGAGCAAAATAATATTATAGAATGAATTTATTTATAAACGTGTCTAATATAATTAAATGAGGATTTTTTTTTAATTTTGAATCTTCTTTCTTTTGTATTGACAATTTTTTTATAAATTCAAATCACAAGTCAAGGAAGGAAAACATCAAAATTGTATTGATTGATTTGTTTGTTTTCTGACCTAATTTTGATAAAAGAATTTTTGCCAAATATATAGATGGAGCTAGTCAAGTTTCTAAAAAGTTAAAAATAACTACTATTGATCAAGTCACTCCACCCGAGCTTCAAGTTATATTATCTAATGTAGTGGGTGAAACTCTTGTTCCTTCATCTCCTCTTGTTTCACCTTAGTCCTAAATTCCTCATGAGACTCTTCCACTACCACTATCCTATCTCTTAATAGGGACAAATGGTCCCTTAATTTAGATGGACAATATCTCTATCGGTCGATATACTTGGTGTAGATTTTTTTTTATACATAAACATGGTTGTTGGAAGAATAAAACATTATGGTAACTTTCCTACCTTATGGATATCGAAATGTTCAAAATAATGACTTTTGTAGGCTACCTAAAATCCATCGAGGTGCTATTAGCCCAATGCATGACAAGATTCAATTTGACTTGTTTGATATTGATTTCGTGATTCAGTAGAAAAAGAGAGGAGAAAAGGAAAAGTCAAAACAAAAGTGAGAGAAAAAAAAAAGATAAAGAGACAAGTTCTAAACTAAAAATCTAGTAAAATAATTTATGTTTATTAGTTTAAAGTACATTTAAGTTATTTGAATGCTCTAAAATATGAAGCAAACGTAGGTCTAAATGTGAGTTCTAATTACCGTTCAAAAGTCTAATTACAAAAGCTAAGCTAATATAAAGAAAATTTAATTTGTATGGGTTGTTTTACAAAATTTTAGCAAATCTATCTCAAGTTCTAAAATTCATAGAAAATATCAAAGAACTCTAAATCTAGTAAAACATATATTCATTTCAAAGCTCTAGAAATGTAGAATTCAATGAAACTTGTATCAACTAAAAATAATATCAACAAAAAAAGTATGAAAAAAAAATAGTGAACAGATGTCACATAAGCTAAAAATACAAAATTAAAACAAGTATGTATGTTGAACTCAATTTATTACTATTGAAAAAAAATGAATTAAAATTGAAAATAAATTTTATGAAAATGCGTTCATTATATAATAAAACTATAAGTGTATATATTTAATATATATTGTCACAAAGGCAGAGGTTAAGTTAAGACTCTTGAAGAGAAGACTTTTGTTGTTGAAGCTAATGTCACCTACGCACCATGTTTAGAAGTGCTAAAATTATATTTTCGTCAGCTAAGTATCACTTCTCTGTGGGTTATAGACTTCTAACTTCTCTATGGGTTATAGACTTCTAACTTCTCTGTGGGTTATATACTTTTAATCATGAAGTACACTAGTGTTTGTTTTTGTCTTTTTGAGAATACTAATATAATTGATAACTAACTTTTATATTGCTATGTATAGCAAAATAATAAAGTTTGGTGTCAAAGTACCAAGAATAGGTACCGATTTTTTTATTACTTAAAACATATTTTTGCATGTATTGTCCTTATTAAACATTTGTGAGATTTATAAAAGTTTGAAAAATGTCTTTGGTTAGGTAAAACTAGGCTAAAGTTGTTAATTTTTTATTTAAGTGTTGTATTTCCTTAATGTTCTAAGGACTCTACATTGATAAATTGGTTTCATTTATCATGGTTAATGTTGAATAGTCACGAATCTAAATTTTTTTTTGCCATCAACTCCTAAAACATACTTTTAGGGGTTAAAGACATATTATATTATTATACCTTTGTGAAAACTTGTTTGAGGTGTTAAAAATGGTCACTAATTATGATTGACTTCACTACCATTAGTGGCGGATCTTCTTGGGAGCTGAGGGGGTCGTGACTCCTGAAAGTTTTGTAACTCTTATATAATTTATGATTTTGGTCCCCCAAAACTTAATGAAAATTTAATATATTTACTTGTATATTTACAATTTTATCCTTTCAGTCCCTCCTTAGTTTTGTAACTCTCATATAATTTATGATTTTGTCTCTCTCATACTTAATGATTATTTAATATATTTAAGTGTATATTTACAATTTTATCTTTTCACCTTTTTATCTTCTTTCTTCTTTTTATATTTATTTATTATTTATTAATAATATATTATTTGGCCCCCCTAAGATCAATGGTCAAGATCGGCCACTGACCACCATATCATTGATATATATCTCTACTATATCATCAATGATGTTTGAAAATATTTTATCCATAAGTTTCTAAAATGTTGCGTCTATATTCTTGAGATCAAAAGACATAACCTTATAACAATACTTAGTATTTTTCATGTTTTGTAATTGGATATATGTTTACAAGTTGATCTATATTTAGTAAAGGGTAAAAATAATTTACTAATACCATATTATTCAACCAGATGGTATAATTCACTTCTCTTATAAATTTAGTTTTTAGAAGTTTATCAACTTCCAACATGATGATAATTTGTTGTTCTTCACCCACTTTACATTTATTTTGAACCATGGACTTACAAAATATGTTAGGTGTGTGACATATGAAATTTGAATCAATATTTGACATATTTGTATCCATGCAAAGAGATTAACATTATTGTATTTGACTCTTTTAATGTCTTATATATGTCTTACATATATTTAACCTATATAAGTGACATGCTTTGAAAAACTAATGTAAAAAGTTATTAACGAGAGTCTACTATTTATATGTTTATAATAAATATCTATTTAAGATAAGTTTTTATTATTATGATTGACTCATCATGCATTAGTAATTTTATAGCTTATGTGATATTGAGACTATAACCTCCAATTTATTTAATGATTTTTTTGAACAAGACATTATAAAAAGTGTCACCTTTCATGTAAGTTATTAAAATATTTTCACTTTTAAGAAACAAGGTAATCAAATCTAAATAATCTTTTTATGAATACTATCATGAAATAAGTAAAATTAAAAAAAAAAACCAATATAATATAAATAAAACTCCCATCACCAACTAAGATTTTTCTCTGATCCAATTAATTAAAAAAGCATGATAACTACATAATTATTTTACAATAAATCCTTATTGATAAAGTTATCATCAATAAATATAATTTACGATAATAAATATAATTTACAATAGAAGAAAGATTCATAGTCAATTCACATTAAATATAAGCTTCTATTTTACACCAAATTAATTTTCTTCCATTAAGTTATTTTATTTTAAAATAACATACTATTTATCCAAATAATATAAATTACAATCCTTAAGTAGAAAACTCAAATATCAAACAAGTTCTGCTTACAACTTTTCTAAAATCCAAATTTACAAATTTTTCATCTCAACTACTAAAGTTAACCCCACAGATTTTCCTCAAAGTTTAGACACTGTAACTTAAACGTGTGAGGGCGGGATGGGGATTATCCACGAGTGAAACTTGAATCGAAATCTTTTGCGCAGGCCGGGAGTAACGGGTGAGAACACCTTCCACCCAGAAAACGGGTGTGGTTCGTTATTCATCATTCTCCATTTCTCTATCTTCGAATACACACTCTACCCACTTTTCTCTCTGAGACATCGTTGCTGCCCTTCCCTCCGAATCGCCGCCGCCTCTCCGCCATCGTCCAGAGCGACGGCACAAAAACCGGAGACAAACAACTCCGACAAATCTCAGGTGACCACTCGATCGTTCGCCGATTCGCACGTCACTGCGCCACCTCACGTTTTGCCATGAGGTTTGATGCAATGCCGTGGCCGGCATTGTAATGGAAAGTGCACGGTGGATCCGTTTTGTGTATTGACTACTATTGGGTTTCGAATTTTCGTGTCTGAATCGGTTCTAGAATTTGACTTTTTTTCAGATCCTTCGAGAAATTTTATTTATTTCCAGGGGTGGCGTTTGAAATGTTTTTAAAATGTAATTCACTTAAGCGGGGTTCTATTAATCTTCAGATCCGTGAACTGGTGTGAGTGATGGTGTTCGTTCAGTTTGTTTCAGAATTTGACCTAATGTTTTCTCATGTTATGTTAGTGTATTTTGAGAGGAGCACAAGGACCTGTTTGGTACTAAAGAGACAGTGTGAGAGGAGGATGAAATAAGTTATTGCAGAAGATGGCGTCGAGGCAAATGGAAGAGATTCGGAAGAAATTAGCGGACCTAAATTACCCGAGAGCGAATGCACCTGCACAGTCGCTCCTATTTGCTGGCATGGAGCGCTATGCCCTTCTGGAGTGGCTCTTCTTTCGGTATCTTATTTTTCTTTGCTTCTGGAAGTCCATTTATCTGTTTTGTATTTGAGGAAGTTGAAAACAAGTTAATAGAAACTGGAGTTGCTCGGTCTTTGACTCGAATAATTGTCTTTTATACAACCATTATGTTGACGTTACATGGGTTTACTTATGCTATGGTTGGAACCCCGTCCTGTTGCCACTATGACGCAAAAGCTAGGCATAAAATAGTGTATATGCGTGGTTTTTCACGATTAGATGTGAGTCTTAACACGCATTTACTGTGCTTGTGGACTTGATGCACATTCTTTAAATAAATTTTGGGAAATTGTAGGCCGTTGGTCTAAATCCATTCACAGGTGAAAATAGTGCCCCCCTCCCTCTCTCTGTCACTTTTTTTTTTTTTTTTTTTTCCAGACTCTACATGTATTGCTTGAAAGTGTTCTGATTAGCAAGGCTTTCCCACCGTCTACCTGGTACAAGCCAAGTGAAAAAAACAAAACCTTTACCTTTCTGCATGTCCAATACTACTATTTCTATTTTCTACCCTCTTTGCGCAATGCCTAGCCTTAGCAATGCCAACATTATCTGGTTTTAGCCTACGTGCAGCACTACTAGTTACAGCTGTGATGCATTATTGTCGATGTTAAGAAGAAATGATTTGGTATTTGTACATACAACAGGCTTTTAGGTGATAAGTCACCCTTTTCTCAACAAAACTTACAAGGGGATGGTCTTGATCGTGATGAGGAGACGGGACGAATTCAGTGTACATGTTCTTATTTTCTTTGTTTTTAAATTTCCAATGGCTAGTTCATAACCTGTTATCCAAGCTTTCTTTGTGACTAAGTTTGTGCTTTGTGCACACTTCTTCATTTGTATGTATAGAAGAAAAAAGATGTTTGTGTTGTGTGATCAAAGATGTGCTGTTTTGTTTCTTATAGCATCACACTCAAAGTCAACGACCCTTGAATGGTGTAGTTTTCTGGTACTGTTCTGTGTATACCCTGCATTTTGTAAAATGTTGCCAATTTGTTTTTATGTTTCTCTATAAAGCTCTGGTGAAACAATCAGTTTTTTCCCATCTAGAAGTAGATGCATTTGAGTGTCAATTTATTTTCAAGTTGCTCTTTTGTCAGTTTTCACTTATATCATGCACAATGTATCTTTTTAGTGGGTGATTATGTTAAAATAAATTTGACTCTTACACCTTTTGATTGTGTCTTCTTTCTTGTATAGTAACTTTGCTTCTCATGACTTGATTTTGCAGATTTGGCAGAGATTGCTAAGTTTCTGGGTATTACAACAACTGTAGATACGGAAGCCATTCAGGTTAGTCATTTTGATTTCTTGTCTTACTATTTTACTGAATTTGTAGCTATTGTAAGAAGCGTACAAGACGCTTGAAATTTGGGCTTAGGGCTTTGCTTAATCCCACAAAATCAACTTGTGAGGTAGCTTTCAGGATTGAGTTAAATTGAACTTAAAATAAAAAAAAATGGTCTTAGATCCTATTCTAGTAGTTGTTGTTGGGCATATTGGGCCACCGATTATGAAGATGTTACCAAACCACCAATAAATGTTTAAGTCTATGAATTTCATGGTTGAAATTGTAGCTCTTAGTGTGAGGCATGTCTGTTGGAGATGTTATATTGATTAAGGTATATGGCTAAAGTCGTGCAAATAAGTAGGAGACAATCCTTACCCCACGAGCAAGCTTTTGGGGTTGAGTTATATTCAAACGCAAATTATAAGAACTTTTCTATTCTCCTTTTACATTGTATTACTTTCATATATATACATTATTGGTCATATGGTCTTGCTCTTACCGTGGATAATAATGTACTTATTGCTCTTTCCTTTGCTAGTCCCTGATCTCTCAAGCAGTATTCTTCTGGGTCATTTGTGCATGCCTTCTGAATTGTTTTGGAGATGTCCCATTGTTGGGTTATTGTTTTTAGTTCTTTGTTTGACATGCAATGTCTGATCACAATATGGTAAATTATTAGTGTATTGAGCCTTACATTATTGTTCGGATAAAGTTGCTTATGATTTTGTTTTTGAATTATATGTAAGGTTTTTAGTGATACCTGTTGACAACTGTTTTGAAAGAGCTGTTTAGATTAGCAGATGTAGTATCAAGGAATTTTAATGGTTGTGACGACCTGGATGAATTCATAAGTGGGTTTTAGTTTTCTTTATGGACCATATCTTGATTGTTAAGAGATTTAGTTTTTATGATATAAGGCTTAAAGCAGAAAGAGTCTGGGAAATTAGCTGAACTGGGAAATACAAGTTAATGTGCTATAGCACAGGAATTGATTGGTCTGGTTCTGTTTTATTTTGTGTCTAACTGACATGTACTATTAATCATTAATAGCTAACCCACTGAAAAAAATTCCCTAAATTTCTTATGTAAGCGTTATGGTTTAATTAAAGAGAAAATTTTCATGTGTACTTACAAAGAAAGATGGTTATTGATAGGGTTGCCAGTGGTCTATTTTTTTCTTGGAAGTTGTATCCAGTGGTTTATCGTCTTTTTGATTGTATGAAGAAGGGTGAAGGTTTAATGTTTTATGTCCTAATTTGATGTGCCATGCGTTATAGTGATATCCATACATATAATGGTTATGATTTACCTTGAAAGCTGGTAAATATTATTCAAATATGTGACAGGGGCATGGAAGCTATGAAGACCGCACTGAAATGCTTCGTCTTATTGTAGATCTAGTGGAGGCAACAATATGTGCAGATAATCCGGAATGGAGGTTGTCCACTGTCTTATATATTTATACTTTTTTTTTTCTATAATATTTTTTGTAGACAAGAATTGACATAGGTTTCTTTTTTATTCTGATTTCTGTAGTGTTGACGAGCAGGTAGCCAAGGACATCCAATTGATAGATTCCATTGCAGAGAAACAAGCTCAAATATTTTCTGAAGAATGCAAATTGTTTCCTGCGGATGTTCAGATTCAGTCCATATATCCATTGTAAAAGTTTCTTCATTTTCTTTTGCATGTTTACCTTCCCATTCTGTGATTATTTGAGTAAATATCTTTATTTTTTAATGATGATCTCAGATTTGTATCTTAAGTCACCTAATTATTTAACATTTGACAAAGGGTTAACATATGTAACACACTTGGGCATATCTTCGAACTGCATTGGCATGGTTTATGATGCACATCAAATGTTGCTTTAAAGTTGTGGGAGAAATATTCCATGATTGTGCACAAGAAACCAGTATTTTATAGTTCGTCCTCTGCAAATATTAACTTTGTGAAAGTATAAACTGATGAATGCCAATTAAAATTTCAGTCTGGGTCCATAGAGGCAACCTTTTGTTCGATGGGATATGGAAGGCTGAACTTTTGGGCTGATCTTCGATTATGTAGAATATTATCAAATAATTTGCATTTTGTTCATAGAGCAAATTGTTTAAGAGCATATTATGGCAAATACTGCAGATTTTTTTATTGATGCGTGGCATAGCAATCTGGCTTTGTCCATTGAATTTGGGAGGAAAACATTTAGGGAGGTATTTGCCAATTTTCAAAAGCTGGATCACTAGGTACAATGGCATTTTCTTTAACAATCATTCTTATTGTAATCACACTGATAGGCGGCCGTGTTGATATAAAGGGAAACTGTAAACTAGCAAGATACAAATCTCTGAGAATCTAACAGTAGGAAACTAACAGAAAACAGTACAGAACCAGAGTCTTTCTAGAACAGAGACATAAAAATTCATAAATGATATGGGGTCATAAGCATAGTAACCATAAATGATGCTATATAATGCATACTAGACTCTGCCAATGTCTTTTTCAAGGGTTTTTCTATTTGTAGCATGCAAAGACTTCACAAATTTCATGCTTTATTGATATTTTATTTTCGTTGTTTTTAACCTTTTTCTGTCTTGGAGGATATACATTTAAATTTCTCTCCTTAGTTGTACATTTGAATTTCTGCCATTGGAACTTAATTTTTGTTAAAAAGAAATAAAAAAATCTTGCTTTGAAACTAAACTTGATCCATACTGATCTTGTTTACCTACCGTCTTTGGTTAACTAACAGGTAGTGTAGGTGCATATACAGTCACAGATTTACATTAAACTTAGTGGAATCATTTTAAGGTTTTTTTTATTTTAAGATTATTTTGTTTATTTAAAGTAGGGCACTCATATAAATGCTGCTCACACTCTGGATTCAGCTGTTGGAATTCATATAAAATGTTAAATTGGAAGTTCTGTTGATGGAAGTAATTTATATGTTGCTAGTAAAAGAAATTCTATCTCATGAGATTTATTAACATTCTGGTTTTTTAATCAAACTATTTTCAGGCCAGATGTTTCTGAGCTGGAATCAAAGTTTTCTGAACAATCAAAAATATTGTTGAATCTTCAACAAAAAGTTGATGACTTGGCATCCAAGGTTTACTGAACTTCTCAATCCACTTCTTGTCTTCAATAGTCCTATGATATGTTAGTTGTAGCTGGAAATTAGTCAGAAGATTGAATTATTTTTTCTTTTCAGCCATATTGTTTCACCTAGTTGGTGTACTGCATCTTTGATGATTTTATTTTTACAAAAATAAACCTATGATAGCACTAGTGTTTCTGCTTCTTAGTAAATACTTTCCAGATACCTAATTTTCTTCCTTGATCCTCTTTCTCTGCCTTTCTTCTTGCATTTTTCAATTCTTTCCAAGGATTTACCGAAAGAGGACATGAACTAAGTTTCTCATTGAGGTAGAGGTATTATGTTTTTGTTTCCTCTGCTGATCCTTGTTGACCTTTTGTTCAATTGTCATGCATTTCTTGTTGAGGGCTGCTATTTTGTAAATATTGTTGTGTTATAGATTTAGGCAGATGTTCTTATACACTAATCTACCAAAAGCTAGTAAAATTTACTTCACTATTTGTTTGTTGTAATTTGATTTTCTCTCTTCATTTTGCTATATAGTATAGTTAGAGTGATCAATTGAATTAGTTTTGAGTCCATCGTTAGTTGCTTTGCAAATTTATGAAAATCGGGAATAAAATGAGGACAAGATGACATTTTTGTAATTATTGGTGAAGATATCAGCTGGCAATGGAAAAAAAAAATCATGGATTAAAGAAAAGACATTTTTTTGTTTTCATTTTCTATTTTCACTAATAATTATGCAAATACTGCCATGTTTTTACTTATCTTCGAAGATTTGTACAGGAAATAGTAACATCAGTATTTTTTTTGTTGTCACTATTTCCTGTTCAAATATGTTTGACAGGTGGAAGTAAAGTGAAAATAAGGTAACATTTTTTATAATTATTGTTTTCAAGAACAATTACAATAATGTCATGTTGTATTCATTTTTTCCTATATGAATATTTAAAATTGGCAAATAAAATTTAAAGAAGATGACATTTTTGTAATTAGCTGTGAATTTAGGAGATCAAAACAGAAAGTTCCCCCAAACGAAATTGGCCTTTAAATTTTTTTAGTTTCTTGTTTTATTGAGTCTCAAATCTCTGTCTCTTGCCATTTTTTTTGACATTGAGTGCTATTTTTTCACTTGTCTTTTAATGTCTTATTTTCTAATTCTTATTATTTTACATAATGAGACTTTAATTGCAATACATTTCTAAGTAATATTCTCATACATTATGTTGATAATATTACCATCTTATCCTGTTTGTAGCATGCTTACAATCCAGATGAGGAGTATACTGAGGTGGAATCCCAACTGAGGGCACATTTGGAATCTTTCCTAGAAACAGCTAGGGCATTCAATTTGATTTACACTAAGGTTTGACCACGCCTTTCTCTAATTGGTTTTGCAATTCCTATCCAATTTATTTGAATCCAATCAAAGAAATATTTAGTGTACTATAAGTGAAAAAAAAAACCATGACAATGAATGATGGAACTATCCTTACTCTTAATTTCAACTAGTCAGGGTCTGTATACTTCTAAATATGCCATAATTTGAGCCTCTGAACCAGAATAGATGATCTCGATGAAGATCTTGTCCCTGTACTGCTACCGCTGAAACTTGTAATTTTAATTGACCGTTATGAAAACCTGTAATTAACTTGGTATAGCTGAGGAATAAAGGGGGATATGCAAATAGAATGCTTATAAACATAACTAAAATGTCAGTTATGGTAGACCTAGCTTAATCTGATACATTTTGCTGATTATTAAATAGTGCGATATACTAATAGTTCAATGACTATTGGTTTACTATAAATTTTTATCCATTTTTTGGTTAGACTATTAGCTCTTATGATATGACAATGCTCTCTCAAACAGACAAAGCTTATAAAAAATGGCTTTTGTGTAGGAAATTCGACCGTGGACACACATGATGGAGGTTCCACAACTTCATGGATTTGGACCAGCAGCCAATCGTTTATTGGAGGCCTATAAAATGCTCTTGAAGGTAACTAGCTTATGCTTGGCATAAATGTGTTTTTTAAAAAAACATTTGATACTGTTTAAAGTATTGGAAATTTAAAATCAAGTGATCCTGGACATGATTCTAAATCTATTAGTGGCTAGTTACAGAGATACCTATTAACAAAATATAAAATCCTGTATTGGTTCTAGCAGATCATCCTTATTTCATTTATGTGATTCTTATTGTCTGCCTATCTTCAATCCCTCCAATTTTGCTACTCAGGACGAGTTTGCTCATTTGCAATAATCCCCGCTTCCTGCACCTTTTTATTTGTGTCTAGTCTAGGTTAGTTATTAACCCTATTTCCTTGTGAATTTCTCTTTAATTTTGTGATTGACCAAACTGGTCAGGTAAGCATCCTGTCTGCAGTGTCAAATGTCTGGATGACTGTAGGTGCTTGCAGATTTGAAGGGATAAATATACAGTTTATGACAATTCCATCTTGAAGTTTAGGTTGATTAAAGTTGATCCAGTTCATAGTTATAATAAAACGAAACGTGTTTTTGTTGGCTTATCTGATGACTAAACGATATTTATATGAACAGTCTTTCATGTGGCATAATTGCATTATTATACAAAATAGTCTAAATGTTCTCGAGTTTGTATTGATTTGAAAGAATAGAGATCAAGTAGATGTTGAGATTGCAAGCTTGAGTGACTCTACCGGTGGTTCTGCTATTGATGACCGTAAAAGAAGAAGAAAATCACAATTAAACGGAATCTCAATCCTTATTGTACAGCCATCCCCATCTCTTGGACAGCTGCAGTGCTCCTTGCCTATTTTGCATATTTTGTTTACAGCTGTATTCTGTTACTAAGTTATAGAATTTGCTGAGGTGTATCATTTTCTGTTATTACCTTTTGTCTTATTCTCTTCCATAAGTTGTATATATTACCTATTCTTTAATCAATGAGGAATAAGAAGAAATTATTCTCATCCTTTGTCTCTGACTATTACTTTTCTTGCCTCGCTCTTTCTTTTATGGTATCAGAGCTCTTCATTGGAGCTCTGCTAGTTACCTCCCTCCGTCAAAATGTCAGATGAATCCCACACAAGCAATCCTAGTGGTGTCACGCCACCGTCTAATCTTTGCCTTGACCAGTCTAGTCCGTATTATATCCATCCTAGTGAAAACCCATCCTCTATTTTTGTCACCCCAGCTTTAATTGGCAGCAACTACCATTCTTGGTCTCGCACAATCAAAATGGCCTTAGTGTCTAAAAACAAGATGGACTTTTTGAATAACACAATACCTGTCCCAGCTATCACTGATCCCATTTATCCATCATGAGAACGTTGTAACACCCTTATCATCTCTTGGCTGTTGAACTCTTTGTCACCATCAATTGCACAGAGCGTCATTTTTTTTTATCGTGCCATAGACATATTGAAAGATCTTCAAGAATGATTTTCTCATAGTGACCTTCTCCATATAGCAGAGCTCCAAGAGGAAATATACAGTATCCGACAAGATTCACATTTAGTCTCTGATTACTACACAAAGCTGAAGTCATTGTGGAAGGAGCTCGATAATTTTCGCCCTCTCCCTGTCTGCACTTGCTTCGCAAAACTGTATCACCAACAAGACTTCATAATACGTTTTTTGAAAGGCTTAGATGACCATTTCTCTGTTGTTCGTTCCCAAATACTTCTGATGGACCCATTGCCATCCATTAACCGTGTATTTTCCATGGTAGTTCAACAGGAACGTCAACATTCTTCACCATCCACAATTGATGAACCAAATGCCTTCATTAACGCTGGACAGTCGTTGTATGGAAAGGGACGTGGCGGAGGTGGACCACCAGGAGGCAATTCCCGAGCTGGGGGATCCAACAAAAAATGCATTTACTGCTGCCGTACCGGACACACCGTGGACATTTGTTACTCTAAGCATGGATACCCCCCTGGCCACTTGCGTTACCCGGGACGACCAAGGTTCCACAACCGGGACGACTCCCACTCTGCTGCTGTCAATAGTGTTACACAAGAAGGGGATTCACGCATTCCTTCTTCGATTAGTCAGGACAATGCTTCCAACGAATTGGGCTTTAGCCTAACTAGAGCCCAATATCAAGAACTTCTAGGTCTCCTCCGGCAACAGAAACCAAGCACCGATGCCAGCCCATCAACGACTTCCTCTCAACCCAAACATGCCAACATTTCTCAAGTATCCAAGTTTGACTCTGATGACCTTCCTGAAATGAGTTTTGGTACTCATTTTGTTTTTTGCACTACCACCAACCCACGTTTTTCTATAATGCACACACTGCACACACAATTGATTGTACCCCTTGGATTATTGACTCTGGGGCCACAGACCACAGTACATGTTCCTTTCATAATATTTTAAGCTTCTCAAAAATAAAACCTGTACATATCAATTTACCCAATGGTTCCATGGTTATTGATCACATTTCAGGAACTGTCTAGTTGTCACCACATTTCATTATACATGATGTTCTTTATGTTCCGAATTTTAAATTCAATCTCATTTCTATCTCCAAGCTTTTGTCTTCATTAAAATACACTCTCACTTTTTCCAACTCTCTGTCAAATACAGGAAATGAAGTCCTTGAAGATGATTGGTTTGGCTAAATTGAAACATGGATTATACCACTTGGAAATCATCATGATTACGAACCAAGACAGTCCCAAAATTGCCTTCATCAATAAATTTTTCACCCCACCTATCACAACCACAAACCTTTGGCATTTTAGACTAGGTCACCTTTCTGGTACACGCCTCACTGTTCTTCATTCTACTTTCCCTTTTATTTTCAAACATGTTGAAGAAAATTGTGACATTTGTTACTTAGCTAAACAAAATAAATTGTCATATTCTCAAAGTTTTAATAGAGCTTCCAGGATATTTGATTTGGTTCATATGGATATTTGGGGTCCTTTTTCTCAACCTTCCATTCATGGTCACAAATATTTTTTAACCATTGTGGATGATTTTAGTCGTTATACCTAGGTAGTCCTTCTAAAATCAAAAGGAGAAGTTAGAACACAAGTTCAAAACTTCATTTTAATTGAAAACCAATTTAAAATCACAATTAAATGTGTTAGATCCAATAATGGCCCTAAATTTTTTCAACAAGAATTTTTTTCTTCCAAAGGAATACTTCATCAAACTAGTTGTGTCTATACGTCTCAACAAAATGGTTGTGTTGAAAGAAAGCATCAACATATCCTTAATGTGACTAGAGCTCTTATGTTTCAATCCCAACTTCCAAAACCCTTTTGGTCCTATGCTATTAAACATGCCGTTTATCTTATAAATCGAATCCCATCACCCATAATTAACAATCGAACTCCTTACAAATTACTACATAAAAAGCATCCAGATTTTTCCATATTAAAGGTTTTCGGTTATTTATGTTATGCCTCCACACACTCTTCCCGTCAAAAAATTGATGCTCGGGCTAAACATGGTATTTTTCTGGGTTTTCAAAATGGGACCAAAGGGTATGTCATTTTAGATTTAAATTCCAGGGAAATTTTTGTGTCTCGCAACGTTTTGTTTAATGAGATGGTTCTTCCATTTACTCAAATTTCTTCCACTAACATGTCTAATGACCAAAGCCCATTGCCAGCCCATCATATTCCTCACACAAGTTTTTATGATGACACCACCCCCCTTAACAATCAACCAAACACCCACCCTAACAATCAGCTCATCCCAACATCGTCCCTACTTTCAGAACATGACACATCTATTCAACAACCCCTCATCTCGTCATCCCTTACCCCTCGCATACCTCCATCCCCACCACAAGAAAACCAACCCACTCGCCGCTCAAATCGCCTTCACCACCGTCCCCAATACCTTGATGATTACGAGTGCAACGCATGCCCCAACATTCCAATCCGTGGCTCAACGCCAACAAACCAATCCTCTCCAAAGATATCATATCCTATCCAAGCAGTTGTCAGTTATTCCCACCTATCTTCCTCTCACACTCGTTTTTTGATGAGTCTGTCTTCTGAGCAAGAACCCACCACTTATCGTGAAGTTGCAAAGCAACGTTGTTGGCAGGAGGCCATGAAATCCAAGATTCAAGCTCTGGTTCATAATCAAACCTGGGATATTGTCTATACACTGTCAAATGTGAAGCCAATTGGTTGCAAGTGGATGTATAAGATTAAGCGTGGTCCGAATGGGTCAATTGAGCACTACAAGGCACGTTTGGTGGCTAAAGGTTACTCTCATATTGAAGGCATTGACTACCTCAAAATCTTCTCTCCTGTAGTCAAGATGAGCACGATTCATGTTGTTTTGGCAATCGCTTCCATTAATCATTGACACTTACAACAACTTGATATTAGTAACGCTTTCCTATATGGGGATCTCACAGAGGAGGTGTTTATGGCCATTCCTCAGGGTGTCTATGGCTATTAACCATCCCAATGTTGTAAACTGAAACGGTCATTCTATGGCCTAAAACAAGCCAGCCGCCAATGGTTTGCAAGGCTATCCAATCTGTTGAAGTATTCTAGATTCATGCAGGCTCATGCTGATCACAACCTTTTTACGAAGGTAACTGGTCCTACTATCACTATTTTAATCATTTATGTGGATGATATCGTTGTGGCAGGTAACTCCCTTGCTGAAATTGATAAAGTTAAACACCTCTTGTGTTCCAATTTTCATATAAGGGATCTAGACAAACTCAAATATTTCTTGGGGATTGAAGTTGTCCACTCATCCTCTGGTATCTCATTATGTCAAAGAAAGTATTGCTTGGACTTGATTAACGATGCAGGCCTTCTAAACTCCAAGCCATGTTCCACACCAATGGACACCTCTCTTTGCCTTCACCATGATTCTAGTCAAGCTCTGGCTGATCCCTTATCATACAGAAGATTAGTTGACCGATTGATATATCTAACAAGTACCCGTCCGGACATCGTTTTCGCAACCCAACAATTCAGTCAGTTCATGGTTTCTCCCACTCAATCCCATTTTCAAGCTGCCTTAAGAGTTGTTTGCTATTTGAAGTCTACTCCTGCGAAAGGATTATTCTTCGGTAGAAATTCCTCTTTTCAATTGTCTGGATTTAGTGATGCAGACTGGGCCACCTATGTTGATACTCGTCGTTCTATCACTGGATATTGCTTCTTCATTGGTAGTTCTCTGATCTCATGGAAAACGAAAAAACAATCTACAGGCTCTAGATCCTCTGCCGAGGCTGAATACCGGGCACTCGCCTTAGCCACTTGTGAATTTCAATGGTTGTCTTATTTACTTCAAGACTTGCGGATTCCTTGTTCAAAACGTGCTACATTATATTGTGATAGACAAAGCGCACTCTACATTGCTGCAAATCCAGTTTTTCAGGAACGGACACACTTGAAAATTGATTGCCATTTGGTTAGAGAAAAGCTTCTTTCTAGACTAATGAACCTCCTTCCAGTTTCATCTTCCCATCAGCTTGCCGATTTGTTCACTAAGGCGCTCCCTTCAAAACAGTTTCAATTCAATCTTTCCAAGCATGAGCTTCATGACAATTTTTAACCTCCAGCTTCTGGGGGGACTAAAAGAAGAAGAAAATCACAATTAAACGGAATCTCAATCCTTATTGTACAGTCATCCGCATCTCTTGCACAGCTCCAGTACTCCTTGCCTTTTTTGCATATTTTGTTTACATTTGTATGCTGTTACTAGGTTCTAGAATTTGCTGAGGTGTATCATTTTCTCTTATTACCTTTTGTCTTATTCTCTTCCATAAATTGTATATATTACCTATTCTTTATTCAATGGGGAATAAGAAGAAATTATTCTCATCCTTTGTCTCTGATTATTACTTTTCTTGCCTCGCACATTTATACCCTATTATGTAAATGGGCGAATTTGAAGTTTAAAGGTTCTGTTTAGATTTTACCCATATACTAATCATGTTTTGGCGGGTCAATTCCTTGTTCTAACTGAACATGTCTAGGCAAACACAAGCTCTGTAAAATATAATAGATTGAATTTAGAGTTGAGCTTTGAAGTTAAAGCGAGTTCGACCACCTTAAGGTTCACCCCAGTAAAGTTTTCTAATTTATGAAAGTGAGTAAACCCTATTGTGTAGGCAATATTGAACATACTATGCATTATTGATAATAACGACTTTGGATCAATATGAAATTTTATGATTATGATAAACACTTTCAATTCAACTGTGTTTTTAAATATTTGACCCATGTAAGTTAAAAGTGTTAGTCACGCATTCTTAACACACTTTACTGTTTGTTAAAATTTATTGAAAACTGCAAAATCAGAATAAAGACTCAATAAATAAGGAATGGATCCTATGTAAAAGTGTGAGTTCTAATAAATTTGAAGTAATAGTAGAAAATATTACAAAATATTGAATTAGAAAATGTGTCGCTAATATTTCTTCATGCAAGTTATCCGTTGGCGTTTGATACTATTTGGTTTCCATTGAACATTGCATAATTTCTTATGTTGGTATGTTTTGTCAAGTGAGAGAGAATTGAGCTGTTAAAGGAACCTATGTTCACAAAAACATTCTGTCTTCACTAACTATATGTATGTGCTTATTTGAAATAGTTTTTGGGCAACCTACGGAATCTTAGAGATTCACATGCAGCTCTTGCCTTTGGTTCTTCTGAGACATCTGACGGGCCTTCATCTGTCACACGAATAATATCCGAATGTGAATCTGCATTGACAGTCTTAAATCGTGATCTCGGAATTCTCTCTGCTTCCATTGCTCGTGAACAGGGAGCGAAGATGAACATTTGATGAAACATGAAAAACAAGTTATTAATCCTTATTCTTTTGATTTTCTGAACTTGTGTATAATGTTCATACTGTTGACATGAGATATGTTAATGTGAAGTCAGCATAGTTGCATTATCCATACAATCATTTAGAAATTGCATGTAAGCAAGGCTATCAGACTGGGTCTATGTAAACTAGTGGAAAGTCTTAAGTGTGACACGTAGACTTGTAAACTAAAGAGAATACTCAATACAAAAGTATTATCTAAGGACTTAGTCACAGTATTCAAATAGTTTGTAAAACTATTAAATAATGTAAAATATGAACAAACAAACTAGTATATTAGTTACACCTTTCATAGTATCTCAGTTAACAACTCTCAACTAACCATGTAATTCTCTACCACTACAAGTTATGCATGTCTTCACCTAAATGCAGGGGCATAGAAAAATGATTTAAATATTTTTTTCACTTAGTTCAGGAAGTTATTTAGTTGATGCAGGGGGCATAATAATGTGGTGATTCCGCTCATCAAAGCTTATATAACCTGGGGAAAGTTATTTAGTCGAAGGATATTGTCAACAGAGTGGACTTTGACTAGTGTTGGGTTGGACTAAGTGAGCCACGTTAACATGCAAACTTGTTTCAGTTTAAACATAAGAAGCTCCTAAGATTTTCAGAATAATGTTGAATTTAAATTGTGAGGAAAATAGTAAAAACAGCTATAAGGATGTACTCTTCTAAAATAGAAACTAACAATATGCAGTGAGCCATTGGCATATGGTAAAATGGAGATGGTGACTGGATTTTAGTGAAACTCACAAAATGGGCATTTTTTTTATCGGTAGAAATTAAATATATGAAATTTTTTACAACTTATTGTATAATAAATAAATATTGTTAGAATTATATATATATATATATATATATATATATATATATATATATATATATATATATAAAAATTTGTCTATAGATTTATAAACTTAAAACAGAAGGAATAGAAATTTTTCTTTTCTTTTTCTGCTCCTCAATGGAAATCAATACATCATTTAAATATCTTAGATTCCATGCTAATGGAATGCATGATTGAAAGAAGATAAACAATTGCAAAATAGCGTAACAAATTATCTCTCTGAATCTTTCTGTATCTTCTAGGAACTAATACCTCTTTCTATAAGATAGAATTAAGTGAAAAGAACAATACGAATAGTAGATAAATTTTTTGTTGTTGTTGGGCTTGGCTTTATGCTTGGGCCTCTAAATTTGATTTTTGCTGATTGATAGCTGGATTGGGAAATGTTTAGGCTAATCTAGTGCTGGATATGTAACAATACCTCCCTCTTCGGTTGCAACCTTGTCCTCAAGGTTGTAAACAACTTGGAGATTATCCCATTGCTCCCAAGAAGTGTCATCTGGTGCTAAGCCATTCCATTGCACTAATGTGAAACAAGTAGGATGATGGTTCACGTCCTCCCATTTGAAGTCCAAAATTGCTAAAATGGTATCTAAGAAGCTTAACCACATAATGTTGTTGCTCTGGAGTCTGAATGACTTAAGTCAGAAGCTCTTTCAAGCTTTTTTGGTTTGTTTGGATAATAAAAAAATGGCCGAGCAGGTACTGTCGCCATTTTTTCACTGCGCTTGTGATTTCGTGGAGTTCACAGAGATAAGATGAAGCCTTAAACATCCTAGAGGAGAAGAACTTGCTGAAATAGGCTATCAGATGAGATGAGAGTCTTGCAAGAGCACAACCCGCATAGCAATGCCGAAACATCTGTTTGCAAGATAAAAGGCTGAGAAAAATCCAGTAAAGATAACAAAGGAGTAGAGGCCAATAAAGATTTCAGCTTGTCAAAAACATCTTGAGCAGTAGAGGACCATTTGAAATTATCCTTCTTGAGGAGCTCTGCTAGAGGATGAGTAATGGAGGTGTAACCTGCAATAAATCTTCGATAAAAACTAGTTACACCCAGAAATCCATGCAAACCTTTTAAAGTAGTGGGAATGGGCCATGTTAACACTCTCAATTTTACTAGGATCCGAAGCCACAATACCGGCTGACACCACGTGACCCAAGTATATGATGCTATCAGTACAGAAAGAACACTTAAGAGGTTGTAGATAGAAGCAATGGTTAGCCAATATAGAAAACCTGAGATAAATGTTCAATGTGCTCTTGGATATTACGACTAAAAATAAGAATATCGTCAAAGAATACAATCACTGTCTTACGCAACAGTGGTCGAAAAAGGTTGTGCATTGTAGCCTGAAAGGTTGTCGGGGCGTTACACATCCAAAAAGGCATCACACGATACTCATAGAGTTCCTCGTGAGTGCGAAAAGCCGTTTTGTGAATGTCCTCAGGCAAGACATGTATCAGGTGAAACCCCGAGACAAGGTCCAGTTTGGAAAAACATTGAGCAAGGCCTAATTCATCGAGGAGCTCGTCGATGGTAGGCATAGGGTCTATGTAAAGTTGCAACCATATCGCCAAATGTCTGTTGCTGGGAATCATTTTCACAAACTTTTCAAACGATATTATGGCCCATTTTAGGTGTTGGACAAAATTGGTTCAGTGGCATACAAACTTGACTTGCCATCGCATTCCCGAATCCATAACGTTTTTCACGTCTCCCTTCTTAAGCCTCATGAAGGGCCTCTCCCTTCTTCTCTTGGTCCATTACGAACATCAGCTTTTGAGAATCACCCCCTCATTACTCCTTTAGCAATTTTGGACTTCAAATGGGAGGACGTGGACCATCAACCTACTTGTTTGGCATTAGTGCAATGGAATGACTTAGCTCCAAGCTGTTTACAACCTTGAGGATAAGGTTGCAGCCGAAGAGGGAGGTATTGTTACATATCCAGCACTAGATCAACCCAAACATTTCCCAGCCCAGCAATCAATCAGCAAGAATCAAGTTCAGAGACCCAAGCGTGAAGCCAAGCCCACCAACAAGAAAGATTTTATCTACTATTAATATTGTTCTTTTCACTTGATTCTATCTTGTAGAAGGAGGTATTAGTTCCTAGAAGATACGAAAATATTCGGGGAGATAATTTGTTACGCAAAACTATTTTGCAATTGTTTATTATCTTTCAATCACACATTCCATTAGCATGGAATCTAAAATATTTAAATGATGTATTGATTTCCATTAAGGAGCAGAAAAAAAGAAAAGTTGACTTAAAATTCTTTTGTCAATGTATTTATATTTATTAAATTAAATAATATAATGAATTTTATTGTTGTAATTTTTAACTGAAAATTTAAAAAATATATTTTGTAACAATCCGCTAACCACTCCATTATCATAACCAGAAAGAAACAAAAAATAAAATAAATTCTAGAATTATATAATATATTAATTTAATAATTTTCCAAATCACTAACCATTTATTATACATAACTTATCCTTATAAAATTATAAATTAATCAAGTATATATACATCAACTTAGAAGACTTATCTTATTGTAATAATGGCGGTGAGTTATATTTTGTATAAAAATGAGAGTGGTTTGATTTTATATTTATTATGATAATACTATTAGAGTTTATCACCGTCAAGATATTATCTATTTTGAAATACTAATTTTATCTTTAAGATGTGTTTCAGTAAATTAAAAGTAAAAAAAATATATATATATATATATATATATATATATATATAAATAAATGATTTTTTGATTCCAACTCAAACAATATGAAATTTAAAAATATATACTAAACATATTTTAAATCATTATAGTTTAAAAAGAAAAACACATACTGGATTAGTTACTCACTAAATAATTATTCAAATAATTATATCAATTTATTTATTAATTAGGTAAAATCGAATACAATATTTTCAATTATTATATTAAACACTTTCATTACTTTGCTAAGGCACATTCATTGACTAACCAAATGTACTAAACAATAAAAATACACATTTTTAAAACCGAGATAACTTAAAAAGGAAGATCATATTGAGTATGAACATTTGAAAGTAGATAATAAAATCATAAGTTCTAACTTACTTGTTATCCAATGTTTAAAAGCTTCCACACACTCTAAAAGCTAGAGTTAGCTTCAACCTCATGTTTCACAAATAACTATTTGTGTAATATTATAAATAGAGAGATAACCACGCAAAAACAACAAAAAGTGAAAATGAAATCACCTATTGATTGAAGAATGTTTGGTCACCTAAATGAATCAAATAATTCTTAACATGAAAATATGCAATAAATAGAGAAAAACCTATATCCTATTATCAAACAACATTAACGAGTTATTCTAGATTCAAAATTCAATAACAAAGAGTCAAGTTTGGATGATTTTATTGATTTTGAGCCTAATGTTTAAACAACCATTATAATCTTAATTTAATGTAATAATAGTGATTAATTTCGTAATATTCTTTTTGTACCATTGATTATCAATGATTTTATTACAAAATAAATTTATATGAAATCTAATAATTCATATTTAAATGACTAGATTTTATTTCATTGTATTTAATTGATCTAGATATATGATTTCACTATAAAAAAAGAAATTTCGTAAATCTAGAATTAATTTATGATGTAATTGGTTAAACTCAATTGAACAATCTCAATTGCAATTGGTTATATTGAATTATGACCTATTAAAATTATGAAAGAACCAAATCTCAATCAATGATAAAAATTTAGATTAAAAAACTAATCGGGAAAATCTTAGTTATGCAAAGCAATAAGAAAAAATAGAAACTATAAATTTCATGCATTGAAATAGAAAACAATAGAGAAAAAGAAGAGAATTATGATAGAGAAGAGCTTTAATTGAACAATTGAATTGAAATGCATGAATTTGAAGCATAGTTGAATGTAGAGAAAACTGAAAAAGTTTAAATTATGAATTAGAGAAAAAACTAAAAAAAAACAAATATCTAAGTTTATAAATATGATAGATGAAAGATAATTTAAAAATTAAACTAAGATAAGTCCTATTTCCGTAACAAGGAACATGAAGAGTCATATAAGATTCATG